GTCCCTCAGGGGCAACTCAGTTTTTGGTTGCGAGTGGCAGTTCTGGCGGATCGCTTCGGAGCCTTTGGCTTTAGGTGAGATCTACGGGGGGAATGAGCACCTGGACTGGATGATCGAAGATCTGGACTACAACGGCAGCTGATCGCCGTTGGATATCCGCAACCTTACATGTATTTGGATTGGCCAACGTTTCAATTTCAAGATGAAGGTTCGTAAGACCACAAAAGTGTCCGATCTTTTGCCTGGCTTTGGCAGACCATATATAGGATGACGAATCCGCAACATCCTTTGATCTGAGTATTTGGATTGCCCAAAGTTTCAATTTCAAGAGGAAGGTTCGTTAGACACCTTTTGGATGAGACCAAAGATATGGTTGACGGAAAGTAATTGGAATAGCTGACACTATGGCTGGTCTATTGTCGCACTCCAGGTTCTAGACTTTACTTGTTGGTGTTTGGACCCGTTTTGGGATTGAAAGTGCCTTCTGAATCTTTGCCTGGCTTTGGCAGACCCTAGGATGCCATACGTTTTGATTGCAACTCTGGTACGGAGCGACCCCCTGTGTCAACTAACCCGATCTCCGTGAAATCGGCGGGTTCACCAAATCCCCATGTCAGGCCCCGAAACATGGCGCGCAGATCGACCGTTGCTGGTGGTTTGCTGTGGGCGTAGCGTGCCGAACCGTGCCGAAGCGAGACCAGTGCCAAGTGGAATTCGACTGTATAAATAGTGCCACGTCCAAATGGGCCTGTCTTTTTTCGATGGAACCCTTTTTGGGTTTCTTTTGAAGGGCAATCAAAGCCAAACCACAGGTTTGGGGACTTTCCCTATTTGAAGACAGACCCAAATTTGCCTCGGCCAAAGTCCCAGCTAAGCTGGAGCACTTTCGCGGAGATCAAAAAGTGCCCGCGACCTGCAGGTCTCCGAGGAAGACTTTTTGCTTCGGGAAGATCAATCCAGTTTGGTTGGAATAGATCAACCGCGGGTTCAAGTTTTTCAAGAGGAGCCAACAAGTAGAATGCATTGCGGGAAGTCTTCTTTATCGTGATGTGAGACCTCCTTTGAGGGGCTTAGATTAATCAAGCCCAGCTGATCAATATGAGGGTCTTCCCCTCCAAACGTGGTCTGATTCCCCATGAAACCCAGACAGACCCCATTAAACAAAAATCGGGGTTGATTAATATGGGGTTGACATGAAGCATGAGGTCTAGGAGGCTGTGGTTTACCTGTTTCCGGTGGCTTTTGTTCATGATCGTCCCCACTCGCCCAGGAAACTCAAATTCACCATGCACTGATCATTGGTACAAAGCACTTAGAGGCTGAGATGTTTGTTCTAATGTGAGCTTGTGCCTTCTTCTAGACAACTGTTTGAATGCGTTTTTGGTGGATTTTATTTGTTCTTCCCCACGTTCTTTCCGTTCTAGTACTCTTTGAGTACTCTTTTTAATGTCCTACCTGGGTGGATCCACAAAAGCCACATCCACATCGTTGTCTAGGTTTCTTGCTGTTTGCCGGTTTTCCGGCAAACCTCCGCGCCATTCTGCCTTGCCGGCCAGCAGATGGACATTTAGTAGCTACCAAGTAGATACCAAGGGCAGCCGTGGATTTGTCGCCACTTCCGGAACTTGGAACAGGGACCAATGTTCCACCTGTGGACATTTGCAGACAGATGCTAGAGCCGCCCTCCACATGATTTCACAGTTCCTCCAATAAGCGATCCTGATATTAAATGAGGTGCCCCGTTTGGCTTGAAAGGCAACCGACAAGCCCAGAAGCTACGTGTGGAAACATACCCCCTGGGTTCAGGCAATTGCCACCATCAAAACAAAGGGGGCTAGTTTAACCACCAGTGTTTGCCGTTCAGGAGAGACTTATATCATATAATTCGGGTCAACCACTGCAACGGGGGTTGAACCCTACATAGGGTAACCCAACCCATGCCAACGACAAGACAAGATCGATTGACCTTAGGCTAATCCCAGCAGCATGTTTCATGAATTTGCTACGGCACTGGGGCACGCCGCATCACACGTGCGCCGGCCTGAGTGTGAAAAGGAGCACTGAATAAGGCTCCCCATTGGGATTGGGAGGCACAGGCTGGGAGCAAAGCTGCCGTTTTTCACTCAACTGCTATTGGGTTGGATCTTTGGACTTTAATTCTTGGGATACCCCCCATGTTTCCGTTGAACCTGCAAAGACTTAAACGTTGTTGCTTGGGGATGTACAGCACCCAAATTCAGTGCCGTCCAATCCCCCGGTTTGTGCGAACTGTTTTTCTTTGAGCGCCCATCTGGAGCTTGCCTTGGTGGTAGATACCCCAGGGAACTCGAAAGGGATGAACAAGGTCCCCCAGTGCCCTTTTACCTTCCTTTTTCTTGGGGGGAGGGTTCCCCTACTAAACCAGTCAACAGAAGAAAGTAGCCTCTCTACTGGCAGACCTAGACACCGTTTGAATGTGTCCAAGTTGATTCAATCGCGCTTGGTTTCCTGGTTTTCCTTTGGGCCCATCCCAAATGGCTGGCCTTGACCGAAGCGCTGGGAGCTTTAGGACAAATGGCCTTTCCCTTTAACCTAAGGTTGACCCCTGAGTAATCAACCCCGGTTTATTAATAGGGGGGTGGGGGCCCCTCGAAAAGTCGTCTGATTTCCTACTAAAATCAGGGACACGCCCTATTATTAAACTGGGGTTGATTAATATGCTGTCAACATGACAACAGGTCTAACGACTTTTTGTTGCGAGGAAGAGCCTCATGTGTGCCGATTGCATCGACTCCATTTGTTCTTTCAGCTTCGCATACCAAGCTGAGGCTCTCTTGGCTTCATCCTGCGCGCCGCTGAGTTTCTTCGTACTTCAATGCGGGGGTGGGTCCTGAAACGGGGACTCCGATGTCCAAGTGCAGGCAGCCCAGCACCCGTTGGAAGGAGGCAACAACAACGACCTGCACAGTTCTTGTGGAAGAGTGGCGATGGCTGGTCTGCTTCGCATGAACATGACCCCCTCCCTCCCGTGTGCTATTCCGGCGTGTTGTTTCCTAGACCGGCAAATGGTCAAGATATTTTATTGACGAACACGTTTCTTTTGCTACGGCACCAAAGCAACAACACGACTCACTCCGAACAGATCAAATCTGCGTTTGTTTGACTGGCACCAAGAATTCGAATCTTCAGATTCAAGGATGTGAACCAGAAAAAGCAACGATCACATTCGAGTGGGAAACAAGGAAGCTCAGCCTCTGCCTGAAGCCGGCCTGAACTTATCCCGAAAGGAGAGGTGCCTGGCGGCCTTTAGGCTTGGCCCCCTTCGGCTTTTAGGTTTGTTGTGTGGGGTTTCCAGCCATCCGGTTCCTGAGTTTGTTTTTCTGCTTTTGTTTTGTTTTTTTGCGTTTTAGAGAGGGGTTCTATTTAAAAGGACTTCATTTTGTAGCAGTTCCTTAGGTTTTTAGTTATTTTCTTCGGTTGAGTGGGCAGTTCTATTTAACCCACTAAAAATTAAGTCTTTAGCAAGGGATGTTTGGAGCCCAGTGGGTAGGGAGAAATCTCATGAATGCATGGAGAGGCATGTTGTTTTATTTTTTTTGTGACGAGGGAAATGAGGTATCAGCACGAGGGCACATTGCTCCCACTTGGCTGGTGTCTCCCCAAACTCTTTTTATACAGGTTGGACTAAATATGAAATCACAATATGATGTGTACTTGATATGTAGGACACGGAGTCTGAAGATATGTTTGCTTGTTTTTTTGGTGTACCCGATATGTGGACCAAGACTATGGGGCGGAGGTACGGATGTACGGAGCGGTCATTCCTGTGAATTTGCAGGTGGGAGTCCATGATCCCGACGCAGGCAGGGTCTCCCAATACCCACCTTTTTGCAGTGTCAATCCCTGACTTAAAAATTAGTGTTTACCGGGAAGCCAGGCTTTTTTCAACATATACCCTAGAAAAATCTGATTTTTGGAGTAGGGGGTATATTTGTTAACACAGTTGGGTGGCTGTATGCGGCTCTAGGCAGTTGAGATGGCGGGTTTGTGTTTGTCGCTATTGCAACATGGCCTGGTATCAAAGGGGAACCGAAACGAAGCCAAACAGTGGCCACTGCTTGCATGTTGTGTCCCTTGGAGTTCAAGCCCAGCCAAACCGGTGGTTTCCCCAAGACAAATCTGGAATTGATTGAACAGGCGGTTGCCCAACCCAGCAGCTTATGAGCAGAAATCCTCACATCGGGTACGTGAAGGTTAGGTAAGGCCAACTACAAATGGGTGCAGCCGATTATTGGCATGGTTCTGGGCAGACCAAATTTGGAACTAGGTTTTGGTTATGACTCACATTAAAATTTGGTGGGTGTTTAGGGGAAACAACCCTCCCACGCAATTTGGAGAATCTCCCAAAATGTTACTTTGGTGGTTTGGATTCGATTGGTGGTCTGGTACGGCTGGTTTCCCAGTTGCCCTTTACAAGAGCCGGGGTTCAAATCCCCAACCACAAATCCAAGCCACCAATTAGGGACCCAGTGCAAGTGGGAAAAAACCACAACATGCTATTGCCAACCTGGATGAGCTCAACCTTTGCGCGGATTTGCCGACCCCGCACAAAAAAATCGCCGGCCAGAGAGTCGCGCTAATCCCCTGATGGTGGTTTGGGTGGCTGCCAGGTTTGGAACCTGGCTCAAACCCCGGCAGAACCATGGTACGTATCTCGGATATTTGCACATGGAGTTCGGGTGTCCCTGAAGCAGGGGCCAAGTGGGCCGAACATTTTGTGGGAGAAGTTGGATTCTCAAAATACATGGGAACAAAGAGACAGAAAGGAGTCAGATATGGGTATGGGTCAAAATTAAAGCACCAGGAAACCGCAGGTTCTAGTCCATGTTTCCATTTATCAGTTGTCCATTTTGGTACCTACTTTTGACCCGCAGCCTACATATAGTTCCACCCTCGCAGAAGGTACACAGGTTGCCAAAAGGCCTGCATATGATCACTGTCTTTTCTTCTTGTTGCGCTTCATGGGCGTGGAACACTTTTTGAGTCGGAGCCCTTTTTGGGTTGCTTCTATTTTAAAGGGAAGCCCAGAGGGAAACCAGAAGTTTGGGGTTTCTATTTGAAGATGGTAACTCTTTTCCGCTCTCAGCCGGGGTTCTCTCTTCGGTGAATTCGTGTTGGGCGGGTCAGGGGGCAACGTCCTCACCTTCGCCTATGGCGCCAACATGGGCTTGGCGCGGGGCTTGGCGAGCCGGGAGCCGACTTTGACATCGCCCCAACAAACGAAGAGAGCGGCCGGCCATGGGGCCTGGAGCTATGAAAGTGTCATCCTTCTGAAAATGGTTCGGTTCTTCGTCTTCTTCTTTTTTTTTGGGGGGGGGGTTAAACTTGGCAACTGCGGGGAAATGTTGTTGCTTGTGGTGAGCCTGGGGTCTTGTAGATAAAACTGTTAGACAAGGTAGACCAAACAAGGAGCAAGGTCAGAAACAAATATTCCTGTGTACCTTCTCTGTGAACCAAAAAAACCCGGCTAAGTCAAGGTGAGTGAGGGAAAGTGGCAACAGATGCAGCCCATTTAGACCACTTTAATGCTAGGATTTGATTGTGAAGGGAAACCAACCCTGAAGGATCCTGCTAAGGTACTTGAACCGTGTTGAACCTAAGAAAAAAAAACTCGTCCTTGCCTGCCTCCACTAGCACTCCCTCCCCTGTTTCCCCAAAGTCAGAATCCAAGAATGTTCAGAAGGACGAAGCGTGCCCAAGCCAGTGCTTCCAGTTACCATGGTAGGTAATCAGGGGAACCCATGATGTCAGACCTCGAGTGTCAAGAGTGGACCATTCGGGCCTTGAGGTTTCCCCGTACCCGTCTTGTCCAAAAGTGGAGAAACCCCAGTTCACACAACTAGTCAGAAAAACATGGATGTAAAAAGCCAAACATTAAACATACCGAAGGGTGAGCGATTCTAGATTCCAGTGGTCACTTAACCACTTGCACGGAGACTTACAACAATTATGTTTGTGGGCTATAGGCTATAAGCTATAGATAGGCTTACTCACCACTTACTAAGTGCGATGTTTCTTTAAGTACGTGGAGTCTCTATGACCCTTGAAACATAGGTCCACGACCCCGAAATTTTGTGGGTAATGACCAACCGATTTTTCATTCGGGTCAGAAGGAGACTCTAGGTAGTGGTCACTCGCAGGCGAAGTTGCTCCACTTGGGAATCCATCCCAAGCACACGCTGGTGGGCATGCTGCCTCACCATGAGCTCATCTTCGACAAGCGCGGCACGGGAATGCGCTCGCGAGTGTGGGTCGCCAACCGACGGGCAAAAGGAGCCACCTGGAGTCTCCTTTTGACCCTTGAAAAATGGGGGTCATTACCCACAGTTTTCACAGAAGTACCTGGAGCTCCTTCTGACCTCTAGAAAAAAGGGGTCATTACCCAAAATTTGGGGGTCGACGGTCATCGACCACATTTTTCAAGGGTCATGGAGACTCTAGGTACAAAGGTAGATGCCAACTCAATATTGCAAGTCAGGAAACAAGGGGAACCCTCGAACTACACCGCAAGTTGCCATGATGTTGTAGTTTTTCGCATGCCTGGTTTACTTGCCATTTGTTGGGGCATTGTAGCTTTGGCACCGCGAGTTTGCCGGTTTGGTCTCACTTCCCGAGATTGTGGAGACTTGGGCACCGTCCTGATATGAGACTTGTTTGGCCTACCCCGAAGAATCAACTCGGGGTGTACGGGGAACGGAGCCCAGTGGCCCGAGTTCTGCAGGGTGGATAGGTCCTGGCGATACCCCGAAGAATCAACCCGGGATGTGGTACGGGGAACGGGGCCAGGTGCAGACCAAGCCCCAGGAACCACAAGGAAGCAAGAAGTCTATAAACTTGTTTTGGCCAATCCACTCGATCGGAAGGGAACCTAGCACTCCTGTGGCGTTTTGCCTTTTTAAGTCTTGTAGCATGCTTCTGGGTAGACCATTTGGGTATGGGTCAAAATTAAACCACCAGGGGACCACAGGTTTTGGTCCATGTTTCCACTTGCCAGGGCAACCCATTTGGGGTACCTATTTTTGACCCACAGCCATTCCAATGCCAAGGTTGTGATTGTGACTCACCTGACGTTGGTTGAACCTCCGAGAAAAGAACGCCTTCAGGGCTTTTGCAAGCGGCAGGTCATTGACGGATGGCGAGGCAGAGCCTGCCTTTGTGAGGGCCCGAGGGGAACGCGGGGACTAGAATTATGTTTGTTTATTATACACATATATATATATATATTTATTTATTTAATAAATGTATATATATACACTTTATATCATTATATATATACTACTGTATACAGTACATATGTTTAGGGGACCCCCAAAGCAGAAGCCTCTATTGGGCTCCCATTGCTTTGGCCTGGCCCCACAAGGTGCCAATGGTGCAACTGAGATAAGCGCGCCCGCACGACGGAGGGTGTTTTTACCGCCCGCACGACTTGGGTGCGGGCACCTTTTTGGTGGGTTTGCTTAAAAGAATAAAGGGCGATTCCTGGCTTAGATGGGGTTTCTTCCATTTACCAGGACCAGCCATTTTGCCAAAAGGCCGCCTATGCTCCCGCATCTCTTTTGGTTCTCTCCAAGGCCAATATCCGGCACACAGAGGATCCCGGCGATCCACTGGCCGTGCTGCTCGCCAAGAAGATGCGGAAAAGAGTGTGGGCGTGTGTTGTTTCTCTTGCGGGTGCGATAGGTAGGGAATGACCCTTCCGGGTTTTGGGAATGAACCAGATTAGGGTTTTCCGGGCCCCGATGGTTTTTCGGGTCATTCCAACTCATTCCCTGCTGAGAACCAGCAAGTTTTTGAGGGTACCCTCCCAAACAAAGACAGAACCTGCCAGTTCCTGGAAGACCATGGTCCTTTTAATGGGCACACCTGTGGTTCCATGTTGGTTTTGAGCGTACCTGTTTCCAGATTGGTTTATTTAAAGGGACACCGAAAAGCCGTCCTCGGCTGCCAGCGATGGCTTAGGTTCCAAGAGGACTTTCACCCCGCCATGCCAGGATTTTCTTGGTGCTCTGCCCAGGTTTTTCTTGGTGCCACCAATGGGTTTGTGGATTTCAGAGGATAGTTGTTGTTTTCTTTATTTGTTTCCTTTGTTGTTGTTTTTCAGAGGGAATATGTTTTTCCAGGGGGCGAAGAAGCAAATGGAAGTACTGTAACGACTGTAACGCCAATATAGTTGGCCTCCAATGTAAATGTTCCGCATACCTGAACACTCAAATTACCCATAAAACATGGGATTGGGTTGAGTTCCTATGAAGGGTTTCAGGGTCCGGGTAAATGTTATGCCCCCTTTTTGCCCATCAGCATACTCCTACTGTGCTTGTCCAGAAGACTGGGGGAATTGAGTACCTCACAAACATTCTAAGGCTCTCAGGATTACAGGGTTCCGAGCCATTTCCTCTTGTGGAGCCTCAAAAGCGGCAGGTTCTATGGTCACCACCAGTAAATTGCAACTTTTGAGGGGGACACCGAGGGAGCCCTGTATAAAGTATTCCTACGCATCAGTATTAATTACTCCTACACACTGTGGATGGACGAAATCCGTTCGCACCACGCAATGAAACCATTGTTGAAGCCATTGTTGAATGGTATTTACAGGGGAATCGAATCATTCCATGCTAAACGGTGGTGCAGGATTTCGCCCCTCCACAGTAGCCATTGCGTATAGGTTGCACACCTTTTTTTACACCCCCGTAAAGACTAGAATATACAACAGTGGGATCGGCACATTTGGTAATCATAAGGGTCTCCCGAGTGGCAATCATACCTAAGTTCCCTTGGATTGAAACCATCATCAAAGCACGGTTGGGTCAACATAAACACCGTGGAATCGGTTGAACCGTACGGCAAATATGTTAGAGCAGAATGAATACACAGATACAGACAGCAGTATCTTTGAACTCCGGATGGATGACAACGTGGTGGACCCCTGAATGTTGATATCAATTGACATCGGGGCATTATGCCATCTTCTTGCATGTTCGGCCAAGTTAATAAGTACCTGGAGTCTCCATGACCCTTGAAAAATGGGTCAATGACCCCACAAATTTGGGAAATGACCCCATTTTTCAAGGGCGACGGAGAATGCAGGTAGTTAGCCACCTGAGTTACAACCAATGACAAGGTTTCCTCCACTTTGGGGGGCTTATGGCGAGTTGTAACCTAGGCTACTGCAACTCACTGACTTGGCCGAACACCCAAGTAGAAATCCATGCAAACCATGGGAAATTATGTAACCATTGGTAGCCACGTGAACACAGTTAACCATACTGTGGATGGACGAAATCCATTTCGCACCACCTGAGAAACCCTGAAATGATGATTCGCCTGTAAATGCCAACCAGCAAGGGTTTCTTATTGTTTCAAAGCGGTGCGAAACGGATTTCGTCCATCCACAGTAGGACAAGGAGCGCAATTCCACTGTCGCATCCGAGGTCCCCTGTGCACGGCGTGGTGCACGACGTGAAGCGGAGCGATCTGGCGAAGCTGGACGCCTCGGAAGCACCGCTCTACCACCGGGTGAAGATGCCCCTTGGCAGGATATGTTTCGATTTTTCCCTGTTGGTTTTAACATTTAAATATACACTGCTTCAGCAAATGGATGGTCAAAACCCGGGGCAGATGGAGGCTAGTAAGAGATAGTCCCAACCATCTACAGATGCGGCTGTTTGTCTAATTCTTTACATTGTTTTTGGGTGCACAGTATTAATACCAGGTTTTTTAATTATGGCTCACTTGATTGCATGACGATGCATCTTAATGGAATCCTCCATCTTTCTTGGGCATAGATGCCCGCCAAATAATCCACAACTCAAATTTATACCCATGTGTGTGTGTGTGTGTTTGAGTGTGTCTTGAGGGTATCAGAGAGAGAGAGGGAGACCCTTTTTTTAGGTTCAAGGGAAAACACCATTTTGTTTTATAGTATGGTTGCTTTATATTTTTTTCTGCCGGGTATCCACTATTTTGACATCAGACTTTGGTGTGTCAGACTGTCTTTCTTTGATTCTTTGAGGGTACCCTGTGTGGTTTGGCATGAGAAGCAGAGCCAGAGACAAGAGACCGGCCATTGTTGCCGGGTCAAAGACGAACAAGCCCATTCAGGGCTGCTAAACCACAGGGGTAGATAGCTGGTATTGGGCCCTTTCTTTCAATCTTTGTGTTCAGCCCCCGCATTAGATGGCTCCACGACTTGGCTCACCAAGGCTTAAACCCTATCTTAGAACCAGTCGGCTGGGATTCCCCAAGACAATAAGTTATTTTGTAGTTTAAGTTACAACCCGCTTATAAGACCCCCTTAGTGAAGTGAACCTTGTCATTAGTGGGTTGTAACCCAGGAGGCCACGCACGTAACTCGGCCGAACATCCAAGCAGGGAACTGATTGTCCATATTGAAGCCACAACTGTGAATTCATCCATAAACCAGGGGTTGATACCTGGGGTCCATAGCGTGGATGGACGAAATCCGTTCGCACCACTTTGAAACCATGGTTGAAACCATGGTTGGTTGGTATTGACGTTGGGGAATCGAATCATTCCAGGGGTTCTAAACGGTGGTGCAGAATTTCGCCAATCAACAGTAGCCATTACGTATGGGTTGCACACTACTTTTTTCTTACACCCCTGTGGTTTCTTAGGTGGTGCGAAATGGATTTCGTCCACCCACGCCACAGTATTAACAATCCCACTAACCTGCAACATGAAAACCCGGTTGGTCATATCGTGTTTCTTCAAATTGGGGGGCCAATTCCACCGGGGCGGCGCGCCTCCGGGGCTCGGAGGCGGGGGCGTCAAAACGGATCGATCCAGCGCCGAGGCCGGTGGAAGTGGACACCCCGGCCGGCGCCAGAGAGGCCCGGGCGCGAGTTTTTTTTGTTTTAATGGCTGCGAAATCGTTGCAGGCTAGGTCCCCCAACAATTGGTGCCTTTTTTACCGTTTCTTGTTTTGGGGTTTGGGGTTCCCCTACTGAAATAGGCATCCAGAAAAAAGTGGGTACCCTTATTCTAACCCCTACCGGAGGACCTAGTAGGGAATGAGAAATGGAATGAACCTGGGGATTCCCTGAAAAAAAGAGGGAAACCGTCGGTTGGGAAATCCTATTCTCATTCCCAGGCGTTCTCACAGGAGAATAGGGGTGAGTCGAAAAAGGCGGGTGATTCATTGGAATTCATATTCATTTCCAATAGAGGCAGAGTTGTGGGATCAAGGAGTTTATCCAACCACTTCTGTGATACCTTCGGGAATCCCCTCTTATGGGGGATTGGCCTTTTTTTGCGGCCCTTTTTGGTTGTATCACAGATTCGTGGGAGTCGATTCCATGTCAACCACAGCCCTGAGGGGCGATTCCAATTCTCATTCGGATCCCAACCAGTGGCTTGCCCTTTCCAGATCCAACCCTCTGGAAACCAACGGGATCCATTTTCCAGTGGAGTGTTGGGGTTCCCCGCCTGATATCTCTGTTCCCAGGCATCCGGTTCCTTAGCCTTTTAGCTTTCAAGTGTTTAGTGGTAGCTTGCATTTAGCCCACTCAACTTATAGCGGATCTGAACACGGACAGCCCAGATATAAAAAAGGGACAAGAGCTGGTTAGCTACGAGAAGGGCATAACTGGGATCCACTGGGCTTGCTTTGACCTTTCTTGTTGGGAGGGGGGTGGCCCCTGACAAAACATACGACCAGAAAACGGGCGCCAAGGCACTTCCTTTCTGATGGGCCACCGGGGGTCTGGGCATCGTAGGCTTGATTTGGTGGGGTCAAAAAGAGGTTCCGGCCGACGGCCTGGTTTGCATGTAAGGGACCTTCATTTGAGGAACTTGTCTAGTTGATTGGGATGGGACAAGGTTTGTTGAGCATGTCGCAAAGAAGTTCCTACGGCTCGGGATCTTCATGTCCCGCTGGATGTGACCCCAAAGGCCCCGTTACCTTTTGGAATGCTCCGCCGCAAAGACATGTATTCGCGTGGAATAGGCTAAATCCCTGTAAGACGAAGACGATCCTTGAAAACGAATCCTCCAGGGACATTGCGTTGGTGCACCTCTTATTTTTGCAGATAGCTCAAATGGCTTCTCCACTGCTTCCAGGCCCAACAGGTTACAAAGGTGCGTCAATGCTTGGTGTTGAAAGGGACGCCGACACACCCACACAAAATCTGGCCGTTGCCCATCGGACCACCGTTTAGGGATCGTATTTCACCACAGGAGTGTCATCACCTAAATTGGGTCCAGTCCCCTTGGTTGCCAGACATTTTCTTGCTGGTGCTCATTAGGGAATGACTTTCCGGTTGTTGGGAATGAACCGGAAGGGGATTCCAAACTAACGGAAACCATATCAGGGATGGTTCCCTGCTAAGCGAACCAGAAAGTATAGCAAACAAGCAGGGAAGCAACCCCATTTTTGTGCTGGGAAAAAGCACTCGTCTTCCCCAAAGAGCGAAGAGGCCCGTGCTCAGACCGGCCTAAGAACCCAGCAAGCTTACTGAGAATCGGCTTTTCACCCATTCGGATCAACTAGGTCCCCCAGTAGTGCCCTTTTACCAACTTGTTTGGGTGAGGGTTCCCCTACTAAAGTAGACGTCCCGAAAAAAAGTTGGTAGCCTTATTCTAACTCCTCTCTACTGGAGGAATAATATTTGCTTCATGTTGACCCTATATCAATCAACCCCAGCTTATTAATAGGGAGTGTCCCTGGTTTTCACCCATTCGATGGGGTAGACTTAGCATACATTTTACATTTTGCCAGTGACTCAAAGGGAAGCAAACAATAGAATATACATTCTACAACTGGAGGCTTAAGTCATGCTCGGATCAAATTTACCTCGAGTCTTGGCCTAAGAACCCAGCAAGCTTGCTGGGACTCGATTTTGTTGTCCATTGGGATCAAGCTTTGGACCGAAGTCCAACAACTCTTTGCAGGTAATGGCATGGACCTATGTGGGCAACGACGAGGACCTGGGGCCCCACGTTCAGGTGCACGGCAAGGCAAGGGACTGGGTTGAGCGCCTCTCTTTTCTTTTTTTTTTTCCGGCGTCACCAAAACTGAGGGTGATTTTCTTTTTGGGATCCCTGCACTGTTCTTGTCATGTTTTTGTTTCTGATTCGGTTCATTTTCAGAAACCAAGGGATCCCAATGAAGTTGTTTTACTATGGGCTGCAATGAAGTTGGTAGTTCATGTTCATTTTCAGGGGGCAACTACCATACCAAGGGGCTCCCTGATTGTAGGGGGCTGCAATGAAGTTGTTTTACCATAGCAAGGGGTGGACCAAGCCACCGACGGTCCCCTGTGACCCATTTGTTCTGTTTATACTACCTGGAGTCTCCATGACTCGAATCAAAAATGGGTCAGTGACCCCATTATTTTGGGTAATGACCCCATTTTTGAAGGGTCATGGAGACTCCAGGTACTCCAAAGCCCCCAATAGAGACCCCGCCGAGCTTCAGCTTTTTTCGGGATTCGGCGCTTCGTCGGCTCCGAAGTGCCATATGACTCCAGGCCGGGCACATACCCATGGGACGAGCAGAAGAAGGACCGAAGTGCGGCCGCCAAATTCTGGCTGATCCAACTCAAGGGAGGATACTTGGATGCTCCTCCAAATTTTTAGCCCTTGGCATAACCTGGGGTAGAACTCACTTGCCCAAAGCCGACCGTATAACCATTGAGTTCCCGGATTTGCTCGATTTTTAATAAAGGTCCCAAACGGTTAACCTTTTACTAGGTCCCCCAGTAGTGGCCTTTAACCCTTTTTTGGGGAGGGTTCCTCTACTAAAATTGACTACAGAAAAAAAAGGGTACCCTTATTCTAACCTCCCTACTGGAGGACCTAGTTTATTTCCAGGTCCTTTGGGCAAGTGAGAGAACCCACAAGGTTAAGTCTACGGACCGGGGAACTTTGCAGGTCATGGGTTACGATCACAGCTTACGTGGCGCATCGAACTCCCAATGGTTGAAAATCTGGGGTCAAACCATGCTGCGGATGGACGGAAACCTGCACCACTTTGAAACCATGGGAAACCATTGTTGGATGTTACAAACAAAAGCCCTAAGGGGCCGATTTGTCAGCGGCTTCAGTTAGATTCTAACTTCCGGATTTCGGAGCTTCCGATTTGGGACCTCTGAAAGGACGCTTTGTAAGGTTGGCACAGGTTATATCCTGGAGCCTTGGACCCATAAAAAGTTGTGGGGGCAGAAAAGCATTGATTTGGGCAGGGAGAGCAGGCTTGCAGGAAACCTATGGACAAGTTTTGTCCGTTCACATTGGTGTTTTGCACCCATGAGAAAAGGAAGCGCCGGCTGGCTTTCAGGAATTCACTGCAGCAGAGCTGCAAGCATCCGTGGCGCCAATGGGTAAGTGAAAATTATCCACTGCCATGGAAGATCTAGATATCCAGATGACATCCCCCAGCCACCACTCCTGTCGACTATGGGCGTATTTGGGAAGATGCCAGGAGTCCAAGTAGAAGGTTTGGCTTGGGATCCCTGATCAATCACTTGGCCTTGTAGACGTCACATGGAGATATACTTCTTGCAAGCATACAGTTCCTGTGCAGACTTGCTAAAAACAACAGCAAGCCACAGCCACCCGAAACTTAGGCTTTCTTCGCGTCAAGAAAAACAACAACAGAGCCACATACAGCACTTGGCTTTCACTTGGCGTTTGATTCTATTCATGTTTCGTAGGCTGCAACAAAACCAGACTCTCTTTTTTTGGCAAGCTCAAGGGTTGTACAGAGGCTGAATCGTCCACCTTGGGCCGAAGTCCCACACTCCCGCCATGTCTCGCTTGCGGGTGATCCTCCGTGATCGCGCGGTGCTGGTGACGCTCGGCGCAAACCTGGAGTTGCTCGACCTGCAGCTCGGAAGCGACGAGGCAGGCGGACGGTGGCCCTCATGGATTCGCAAGGAAGCATTTGCCTGGAGTCTCCATGACCCTTTAAGAATGGGTCAATGACTCCAAAATTCATGGTAATGACTCATTTTTCAAGGGTCATGGAGACCTGCCGATTTTTCTCTTGGTTGATTCCTTTTCCATTCCAAGCATCGTTCTTTTCGAGAAGCGGATCCGTTTCCCTGGGTTAGAAAGATTCGGATCCCTGGAAAGAACGGACATGGAAGGTAGCACTCGAATTTTATGAGCTCACCTGCGGGTATGACGAGCTCATCATGAGAAAGGTCCTTTACTATACTTGGGGATCCCTCATTTCATCTTTCGGAAGTATGGTAAAATTTGCAGAAACATGGTTTGTTGGGTGTCAAAAGGGGTTTAAGCACCTTAGGTGCAAAGGACCTCTAACGTCTTTGCATTTGTTGGGGAAGTTTTGTTTGGCCTCATTCCCTGAGTTTATTCTTCCTGGAGGGAATCGAACTCGGAACATCTTCAAATTGCCGGCATAAATACTGTTGGTCTGTTTCCCTTGAGGACTTGTACCCCTTGGGTGTATTTGCCTCCCATGTACTCGGGCTCAATCAGCTTTGACGTTTAGGCTTCGTTCCCTGAAGTAAGGACCTGTTGACAATGTCAGCTTCGGATTAATCCGGAGAGGATGCTACTTATCAGAGAAAGCCCCTAATAGGTCATTTCCCCCCTTGGCAGTCGGGTCTTTAGGGCCTACATCGCCCTTTAAACTAATTTTGTCCCCTCAGTACATCTGCAAAATAATTCTTCCTTGTGAGAGGGTACTTGTAAAGGTTTATTGGGCCAATATGAAAGAAATCTTGAATCAAGGACATTAGGTATGGGTTTTGGAGGTATGGATGCTTACATACCACGAATAGCAAGCTTGCAAGGTGCGTATACCCCTTATATAACTGGCTATATAACTTCCATAGCATCGGTTTTTGTTCACCGGGTACGTGTTTCAATGCACCCACCGCATAGGCGGCGGCGGAGCTCGACGCCGTGCCCGGCTTCGCGGTGTCCCAGGCGGGGCGCGAGCTGACCCGCGCGCTGGAGCGGCATGCGCTGGCGCACGATGCGGCGGACAGCTTGCAGCGACTGGGCTGGAGAACCCCGGGGTTCAGAAAAGTCAGGCAGGCCACCCAAAAAGCGATGGTTGGGTTAAGGGGGTTGATCAAATCCGATGACAGGACGACCATTGATGTTTCCTACATGGGTTCAGGAAGGCCAGTTGACGGCCAGCAAAACCATGGTTAGGTTCACAAGGAGGTGGATCAAACCATGGGGGTTCCCCACCCACAGGCAGGCCAGGGAAAGTCCCCTTTTTCTGGAGCTCAGGCAGGCAGGCCGTCAGTGAAGCAATGGTTGGGTTCATAGCCTGTGGAAATTCCTTCCTGGAAAACAGGCCGCCGCTCAAACAATTGGGCGTTCAACATCGTCATCGTGGAAATTGGGTCACCTTGGTGGCCATTCTTTTCATGGGGGTGTTGAAGCCCAGGGCCTACATTTCCCTTCAAACTGGTTTAAGCATCACCTTTGAACTTTTGGACTCCGACCACAAGTCTTGATGGCTCCCGGCCATCCTCTTAGCTTTTTATTTTAGATGGGATTTCCATTCACCCACTAAAAGTTAAGCTTTTAGCGGGGAATCTGAGGACAGCCCAGAAGTGAGTTTCCTTTTGGCCGTGTGATGTCTTTCTGGGGAACCCTGAAATGGGCGCTTCCCCGCAATGAGATATCCCCTAAGACTGCCTGGAGGGGGCTCGCTTGAAGGGGCTCGTACCGGGGGGCAAACGGAGGGCTGAGCAAAGCGGGATGCCAAGAACAAACACCACGGAAAAAAAACAACAGGAAAAACATGCTGTGGATGGGCGAAATCCATTTCGCTCCACCTAAGACTCGCTTCCCCTGTAATTACCAACCAACGTTATGGTTTCCCCATGGTTTCAATTTCGTGGTGCGAACACCCATCCACAGTATCACCTGTTCTAGCTGACCGAAAGTGGTGGCAACAAAACAACCCAACAAGGTATGTGCTAAAGGTTACCTCAAACGATCGCGGTTGTCCTACCCTCCCACCAATTGAGCCTGACGTTTGGGGGTCCTTGTACAAGGAAAATGATCTTCCAGGACTCCCTTCTAGAAAACGGTTTGGATGCGCCTGAGAGTGGATTTCACCTGTTGGTCCTCCCTTTGTTGATCCTTTTTTCGTACTATTTTAGTACTCTTTTCATATCCTAAAGGGGTGGATCCACAGATTCGCCACATCCATAAACCGTTTTCTAGACCCCTGTCAGGTTTGCAGAAGATCAGTGGTTGTGAGGGGATGAGATGACGTGGGTCACTTTAAGATTGGAACCTCTGCATGCGGCCTCAGCTTCAGACCCCAGGACCCTAGGTTCCATGTCAACTGGTGGGAGGGAATGACATGGGTATGAGTCAAGATTAAACCGCCAGGGGACCGCAGGGTTTAGTCCATGTTTCGACTTACTAGGGTTCTATTTTGGGTACACTGTTTTGAGAGCCACATGACCCCTCCACTTAGGAAGCTCCTGATCCGTTGGCGCAAGACCCGTCGCAGCGACCCCATCCTGGAAGCCGTGGGTGCTTCTCGGCCGGGCCCCCGCGTCTTCGTGGATCGAGTGGGGAGACGCTTGGCCAGATCTGTGGCGAGTTTTCCTGGACCCCTGGCTGGTTTTACCAGGTTGGGTTCATATATGACCACCATTGTTTACCCGAGGATTGTCATCAGTCATCATCCAAGATTGTCATTGGTCATCATCTAAATTGGCTCAGCCATGCTTTTAGTGGGGGTTGAACCTAGGGTTTACGCGACGAGCCCTCGTTCCTTTTGCGGGGAATGGAATTGTGTCCCGGACCCCCTGACGTCCTGACCCCCTCACGAAGGGACTTGCGTGTCCAGTTACTCAAGTTATAGCCATGGTTAGAACCTACAAACCTGACGTTGGTAACGGACATTCAAATAGGTGGGGCAGTGGAGCATATTTACCCTGGTTTCGCAGCTTGGTTTTCGGCTCATGATAAGTTCGGTTGAGGCTACATGGGTCTCTTAGGCAACCTGGCGGACCTGTCCTGGGAGGTTTTGGCCCCGGACGTGGCTGGGGGCTTCTTCGAGGATTGGGATTGGGACGGGTTGCAGGTTGCACGGTCTCTGGTGTGACCGAAGTACCGCAGAGCGACCTGGGGGTTAGAAATGGGGGTGAGGGCACCCTTTTTCAGGCCATTTTGGGGTGCCGTCCGAGTCCTTTTAAGAAAGACACGAGCCACCCCCACGTGTGATTCACTGATGGAGTTCATGCGTTTTACCATTGCCCCTTGACATGTCCGTGGTGAATCACGGACCTCCAAGGTTTCTTAGGGTTTGAGGGGTCCTTACTTCCATTTGCTGAAATGAATATATGTGTTTCCATTCCGCAACGTTCGGAAACCCTGGTTTATGATTCGATTCCCCTGGACAAATATCAACCAACAATGGTTTCAACATTTTGTTTCAGGCTTCCGTCGTCATATCTTTTGCTTGGGTGGGCAACAGCCGAGGCAGTTCAGGTGGGCGTCTACAAAAAACTTTGCACCACCCCCTAAACGACTGCATCCACACCAAAGGCAAGGTTGCAACATGTCTTCATGATGTGTCATGTAACCATTGGTCCGTTGCTAGTGGTATAAACATATTTCTGTGTCACCATTGTCTTCCTTGGCCGTGGATGGATTTTTTTGGGAGCGGGTGGAAGCCATGTTGGAGGAAAGGCTGGTATGAAGATGTTGCGTAGTCCTCCTTGTTTTGGGGGGCTCGGAAAATCATTTTAGTGTGTCCTTGTCGCCTTTGTCAATTTTGGTCGGGGGTGGTAGAGTTTTGTTTACACAACGCAGGCCCCGCTTTGATCAGGTAAGTCTTAATTGGCAGCTTGGGGATTTGAACACCCTGGTTCTAGAGGGTAAATGGGAAGCTCCTGGAACACCTCCGAACCGAGCTCCAAACCACCAAGAGGGAAGCTTACTAAAGGAACATTTCGTTCTCAGAATGACTTGAGCCCTGTAAACCCACCATTTTTTAGAGGGACATTTCAGGATGTTACTTTACTTTCCATCCCTTGGTCGCAAGAAGTCGGTAATTAGCCCGTGGGATGTGGTTTTTGGACACACAGACACACCCTCCCCCTTCCCCCGGATGGCCAGGTAGCGCTCTTTGGCTACGCGCCCCGGGCGGCCGTTTCCGCGTCCGCGTCGCCGCGGCTGCGGCAGCTGGGCAGCTTCCGAGTGCCGGGCAACTCCGCGGCGCGAGGCGTCGACGTTCGTTGCAACAAGGGGGTCCACAAGGCCCTAAAGTTAACCCCGGATTAATAAACCCCTGGTTGATTAATAGGGGGGTGTCCCCTTTTAGTGGGGATTCATCACTGCCCCCGAATATTGGGACCGGTTTATTAATCCTGGGTCAACATTACATGGAGTCTCCTTCTGACCCGAATTAAAAATCGGGAAACAGGACCAACAATTATTTTAGGTAATGACCAACCATTTTTAAAGGGTCATGGAGACTCTAGGTAGGAGCCCTGAGACGCCGAGACCTGCGCTGGGAGGCACCTCTAGACAAGACCTTAACCAACAAAGCCACTCGGAACACCGGACTCGGGTCAGGGCCCCGATTGCCCGGCACAGGCCACCGATTGACTCGGCTGCAGCCGCAGCGGTGGTACCGGGTGCAAGTGCGCAGCGTGGGGCCGCGGAAGCGCTGGGTCTCCCAGTGGAGCGCTGAGGCGTCGGAAAAAACGCGACACGATGTGAAAGGGGCGAAGGACGTTGGAGATCCGATTTGTGTCTCTTTGCGTACCCCAGGGCCGCAGCGAGTGTTTCTTTTTTCGAAGGGCCCCACCCCTAAAACAATTTGTGTGTTGTTATTTTGGTTGCCTGGCGACAAAACTCATCTCTTCCCAGTTGCCCATGTTGTAGGTAACCAGCTGTTTCTCTGTTGGTCTTTAAGGGGTGGTTGATTTGGTTATCTACGAGACAAGGAAATGGAATGCATTTTTTCTCTCTGCGTACTTGACCCATGTGCTTCCAGTTGGTTGCTATCATAATGGTGACCCCAGATTAGTCAACCCCAGTTGGCCCCCTCCAAAAGTGGTCTGATTCCCCACCAAACCCAGGGACACACCCAGTGGGTGCCCTTTTACCCTTTTTTGGGGGAGGGCTGAGGGCCCCTACTAAAACTGACTACAGAAAAAGGGGTACCCTTATTCTAACCTCTCTACTCGGATTTTTTTGTTGCTTCTGGCACATCATCATTGTGTAGTCTTGGTGAATGGGCTCCCACCGGACTCTTGCATGGGGTGTTCGGCCAAGCAAGTCAGTACGGCACTTTTGTGTGGTAAAAACGGGGGGGGGGAAAAAATGGTAAAAGTAGGGGGCCTGGGGGGTGGTCTGTTGATGGTCCCCTGTTATGGTTTTTATGTTCATCTCAAATCTGTGTTCCCCCTTATTCGTTTTGAAAAGAGGGTTTTTAGGGAGCTTATTTATCGTTTTCGTTAAGGTAATCATTTTGGTAATTGCCCCCCTTGTTCATTGTTGGGCTGGGGGCAAACATTTTTTTCATTTGAAAGAGGTAGCCCTTTTAGTAGTTATCAAGTTCTGGGGTGTTGGTGGTGTATTTGTTTTGTTAGTATGTTTATCAATAATTTTCTTTTATAGGTTAAAAGTTCGCTATAATTATAACATATAAGATTTTACATGTTATAATTATGGTTTAGTTATGAATTACACAGGTTCATCAACCATTAGTTTAAGCCTTATGTTTTGTACTCCTTCAAAATTCATTCTACTTCTTGCATCTTCCATACGACTGTCTATTGTTTGATGCGCCACTCTCATTACATCAGCTATATTATCTATGGTTATATTATCTACAAAATCATCACTATGAAAATGAAAACTAAAAGTGTTAAAATGGTCGTCTTCATAATAATTGAAATGATGAAACCTTACAAACATATTTACCTCAACTATTATAACTTCTCCATAACTGTTATCGGTTTCAATGCTATCTAACAAACAACCTAAGTTTTCATGTTCATTAAAAACTATATCTTCAATGCTTTTAATGCTTAAAGGTTTATTTCTTGAAATGTAATACTCAATTACGTGTCTCTTTATATCATCACCACCTACAACAGTTCGACGCTTTGTCTTTCTTTTTGTTTCTGTTCTGTTTATTTTATATTGTTGTTGTATTCTCTTTAATGTCTTAATATGATTATGTTTTATTTTCAAATACTCAGGTTCCCCTAATCTATATGAAATGATACCTTTTAATACATCAACAGGTAAGCTAGCACAATTCTTAACCATAAAATTATTATCTGATATTTTACCCCCACTCATTTTTCTCTTAATATATAAGGTTTTTTCTCTTTAAGTAGTTTTGGCTAGGGGTTGCTGGTCGGTTGGTCTGGGTTTCAGGTTTAATTTAAATGTCTTAACCTTCTTTTTAGATTATAAAACAATGTTTAATCATATTATAATTAAATATTATGAATAAACAAACATCATATTTCATAATTATTAATTGTATGAATTTCAAATTTGATAAAGTGCGTGAAAAAGACTGTTTCAGGTGTAGTCCCACGAACACGGGACTCCCAGTCCCACGAACACGGGACCCCCAGTCCCACGAACACGGGACCCCCAGTCCCACGAACACGGGACCCCCAGTCCCACGAACACGGGACCCCCAGTCCCACGAACACGGGACCCCCAGACCCCCAGTCCCACGAACACGGGACCCCCAGTCCCACGAACACGGGACGCCTTGACCCCTCCATTTGGGACCCTTGGCCCCTCCATTTGGGACCCCTCACCCATTGCTCATATCCGAGGTTGAGAAGACATGAAATAAACAAATATCTCGCTTATCAAATCAGTAGGAATTTTATATAGGTCATCTTGTTTATGTTTAATGTATCCCTCACCCCAATCTGATTTCTTTCCCGATGGCAACCGTTGAGCAGTTTCTAAATGTTTTCCATTCCTAATTTTCCCACAATCCCCTTTGCATAATGGTCTGGGTTTCCATGTTTCAATGTTTGACCACAACCTCGTTCGCTTCCTGTAGTTCATGCCATATTTACAATAATCCACATCATAGTATTTCAACCCACTCATGAAGGGTTGTTCCTTTAATAATCCTGTTTGAGGATTTTCCACAACCCACCATGTAGGTTTAAAGTAGTCAATGATTTCAAGGGTTTTCAAAACGATACTATTCGCATAATCTATCTTTCTAACCCCAGTAGTTTTAGCACGACTGTATTCGGTGCATGGAGGAGATGCCCAAATCACATCAAAATCACTAACCCCGAACTGTTTATAATCCCAACTCAAAATATCAGTATTTATATTTGCATTTTTCAAATCAAGGGAAATAACACTATAACCTAAATCACGAGCGACCTGACCAACACTACCTGTCCCACTAAACATCTCTAATAATTTCATTCTTATTAGAGATATTTAGATATTAATATTTTCATTAACTGTCGATTGCTTACATTTGTTTGTCTTTTGGTGTCGTTTCAATCCATCCTTTCTCACACAACAACCGCATAAATCACAGTTGGTTGTGTCCATGGACTTTTGGCTAATTTCTTGTTTTTTGTCTTCATATCGCTTTCGGCTTTTTTCTTTTAGTTGCTCCACATTGTTTTCATAGTATCCTTTGTAATATTGTTTATACCAGTCCTTATGTTTCTCCTTATATTGGTCTGTCATTTCTTTAATTCGTTCTTTATTGTTTAAGTAATACCCATGTACTTGTGATTTTATATTGTCTTTGTTTTCTTCTATCCATTCGTTTCTCGTTCTACCTGCTATTTGCTTATTAAGTGTTGGCTTATACTGTCTTATCAGTTCTCCTTCTCGCTTTCGTAATTGTTCTACATTTTCACATGGATATTCTTCTAGTAATTCTATGTAAAACTTGTCTTCTCCTATATCGGTCATTTTCTGATAAATCTTGTATCTGCTTCGTGAAGCCATTTGTAATGATTGTTTATGTTTGTAAAACCTTTTTGATAATGGTTGCGTAGTGCTTCCAATGTATATGTCATCATCTTCATTATTTCTTATGCAATAGATTTTGCCATTGCAGTAGTTTTTCTCCTTTTTTCCTTTACCTTCCATTTGCTACATGATTAACATGACTTCTCTTTAGGACTTGTTCAAACTATAATGCCCGTATGGAAGGGAATAAAAGGCATCTTTATACCAGCGCTTATTTTCAAAATTACTCAAGCTCTGCTTAACTTGAGACATTGAGAATAATTGATGGTTGCGACTACGAATGAAATTGTATGTTATTTGATGCTTTTTGTTTTCATACAATGCTTGTTCATAACTTTGGTAAGTCAGTTCTTTCTTCACCTTATGTTTCACTACACCTTTTGATTTTTTATGTTCATCATCCTCACCATGTATTGCAAAAGCGTATGACTTGGGTTTGAGTGCTATGAATTTGGTAATTATCTTTGAAGAGCATTCATCTTTAAAATAACCGAGTTTTTTCTTATTTGTTTTGTCATGGCATGGATGTTCTACTGGATAATCGCTAAAGTCCATATATTGGTTTAATTCTTTGAAGTCCTTGTAGATGTCCTCAGTGAATGTTTGAATTACATAACTATCAGTATCTGTATATACTAATTTGATATTTTCATTGTATTTTTTCTTAAGGACATCATAATAAAACTGATACATATGCAATTTACTTAAATCTAAAATCGTCATTCCTAAAAAGATTGGTTTATCCAGTTTCAGTTTTGCTTTAGTTTTCTCAACTCCTACGATATTTTCATTAATAATAAATCTATTTTTGAAAGTTGGATTATTCACGCACTTTTCATATCTAACTTCGTTATCAACCAGTTCAAAGTCCATATGGTTTCGCTTGTCTTCCATAGTTTTACCATATACAGAATTATTCATCAGCTTATAGAGTTCTTTCTCAAAATCGCTTTTGGCTTCTTTCCTTTTACCAGTGTTGAAGTCAATCCACGGTTTCAACCATGCCCTCTGTTGAAATTTTATTATCCTATGGACTTTACCCATTTTCATTCCCATTTTCAAATAATACTGTAAAGTCTTAATATGAACCACATATTTTTCTTTATCCTTTAGATTTAATATTAACTTACTTGTTTTCTCGTCCTTGGGACTTTTACCATCATAATATATTTTGAAGACTTGCTTTTGATAATCGGAAAGCATATTCACATTTACATTCATTATTTCAGGCGCTAGTGGATAGTCAGAGTGGAAGTCGTGCAATGTTTCGGGATATTCCAAATCAACTTCCATAATATAACCGAACTCATCGTTTTCATTCCATTTTTCAACAATGGGAGTTTTCTTTGCCCACTTGATATTTTTTAGCGGTAACTTCTGGGACATTGCCAAACCATACAAGTTATTAGCATCCAAGTAACTAATATAATTTGATGGCTTGTTCTCATCATATGCTTCCCCCATATACTTATTATTTGCCACTGCTAATTTATGACTTACCTGACACATACCACCTCTCATTCCCTTTTCAACCATCTCAAACATTTCTTGGTCATGCAATTGTTCTATTTCAACACCAGTTTTTAGAAGCATCGCGTCCCATGCGAAATTTGGCAATGTGTAATAATGAGCGGGGTCTAAACCGTAGTATTCCATACACAAGTCTCTAAAGTTTTCAAATACATCGGTCAGTAGTAAAACA